GGGCAGCGGGCGGCGGGCAGGGGCAGGGGCAGCGGGCGGCCTGACCCCGCTGCTTCAGCTGCCTTCCTTAGTTGGGGCGTCTGTTTCCCTTCCCTTTTCCGCTTCGGTGTAGGAGAGTGTTTTGTTCACTCCTGGAACCATTTCCCCATCCCATTTCTTCCCAACACTCCCTTGTATAAATTTATTTTTTTAAAATTTTAAAGTTGTTAAAAATATTTTCTCCTTTACCGATTTTAATTTCCTTCTTTGGATTTGCGGATAATAGATATCATACTTCAGATCCTTGTTTTAATGTTGCTTTCCCCCAAGGATATCAGTCACTGAGTAAACGCTGGCTGGTAAGAGAAAAAGTATGAGAAATTGGATTATTTTAAGGCTTTTGGGTCAACAGAAAGGGCTGGGGCTGTAGCTGGGTGGTGGAGCCAGGATTCCAGCCCAGGTCCCCCCCCCCAAAAAAAATAAAATAAACAGAAGCCGCGAGAACTTTAATGATGCTAAGAAACCAGGAAAAGCATTTTCAACTAATCTTTTCAAATCTGGAAACTTTAAAAAAAAAGTGTAAGACTCCTATTGTACCCATTGCGTTTGGTCAAGGTTTGACTGCCGAGGCTCCCGAGGGCCGCTCTGGGTTAGTTTGGTAGGACGCAGCTCAGGATCRCTCTCCGTTATCACTCACATACTCACCCTTCCAGCTGGACCTACAAGTACTGTATTCATTGTTTTTTGAGGTTCTGGGGATTGGCATGCTTTAACACTGAACTACATGCCCAGCCCCCTTTAAATGCATTTTTTAAAACTTTAAGACAGGGTCTTGCTAAGTTGCTGAGGCTGGCTTTGAACTTGGAATCCTCCTGCCTCAGCCTGTGGGTTGATGGGATTACAGGCGTGTGCACCACGCCTAGCTAGGACCCACAAATTAAAAAAAAAAAATACTGTCACAATCCCATCTCTGTATTCTATGCTGGGATTGATTCCCACACCCCTCCCCGACTTTACTGGGGATGGAACCCAGTGGTGCTTAAGCATTGAGTCACATCCCCAGCCCTTTTTGAGACAGGGTCTCAGTTGCTTAGGGCCTTGCAAAGTTGCCTGGGGTGCCTGGAACTTGCCATCGTCCTGCCTCAGCCTCCCGAGTCTCTGGGATCACAGACATGCACCCTCCACCCAGAACGAGGGTGGTTTTCAAGACCCAGGCTCTTTGGTACAACGTGATCCAGGACCCTGGCCTGTCCTGGGCAGAAGAGAAGCAGAGTCACCTAAAGAGCCCTGTTTGTGACCTCGATCAGCCGTTTCTTTACTGGGTGCTGCTGGGTTTGATGCTGTGCCTTCAGAATTTAAGTTGGAAGTGAATGTCCACGGCCCACGTGCTGGGGGGCTGCTTCAGCAGACCTGCGGATCGGGGAAGTGCCCTCCCTCAGGAAGGGGCCAAGGGCTTGTAAGAGGCTTCACACAGCCCCCACCCTCTGCTCCACCCGGTCACATGACAACAGGGAGCAATGTTTCTCCCCCCAATACTTAGGCTATTCATTTTCTGGAATGACAGTGTACCAATATAAAGTGTGGGCAGCGGTGATGCGGTTATCAATAAATCCTAATGTATACACACTGGCAGCCACTGGGACCTAGGGGCTGGTGTTGTCTGTAAATGTGATGGTACAGTCAAGGGCACAGTGCTTTATAAACATGCCCCCTCTGAGTGTTCCAAATCTATGGAAATTCTCATCACTTTATTGAACCTCAGACTGAATTGTTAGATGATTTTAAGGCTCTTCAGTCAACAAAAACAAAACAAAATTCCAAGACTCATATAAGAATGGACTTTTGACTCCAAATAAATCTTATTAATATATTAATAACATTCTTTAAAGACCCTTTATTTACTTTAAACTGATGTAAAAAACACAAAAATTGTACATCTTCACGGGATGCTGTGTGATATTTCAATAAATGTATACATGTGGAATCATAATGACTTCATTTATCACAACATTTTTTTAGGGGGGTACTGGGGATTGAACCCAGGAGTGCTTAACCCCTGAGCCACATCCTCAGCCCTTTTTACATTTTATTTAGAGACAGGGTCTTGCTGAGTTGCTTAGGGCCTTGCTTTTGCTAAGGCTGGCTTTGAACTGGCGATCCTCCTGCCTCAGCCCCTGAAGCTGGAATTACAGGTGTGTGCTACCGTGCCCCAGCCATCATTTACCATTTTTTGATGAAATCATTCAAAATCCCTTTTTCTAGCTTTCTGAATATGCAGTATACAATTACACCCACTATGTAACAGCACTCCAAGCAACTCAATCCCATCTGACTGCAACTTAGATCACTCTTTCCAATCCTTTATGAGAAAAATACCTTCAAAGTTTGATTTCCTTCCTTCCCTGGGGATTGAACCCAGGGGCACTCTACTCCTAAACTACAACCCCAGTTTCTTTTATTTGAGACAGGGTCTCACTAAGTTGCTGAGGCTGGCTTTGAACTTGCAATCCGCCTGCCTTAGCCTCCGAGTTGATGGGATGACAGGCATCCACCTGGCTTAAGTTTATGATTTTCTTTTTAAGAATGGATTGAATTACAAACAATCTAACTGAATCACCGCCAGTATCACACATTTTGCTTTCAATGGATTTTTAAAAATATTTATTTATTTATTTTTTTTAGTTTTAGGTGGACACAATGTCTTYATTTTTTATGTGGTGTTGAGGATCGAATCCAGCGCCCCACACATGCCAGGCAACGCTACTGCTTGAGCCACAACCCCAGCCCTTCAATGGATTTTAAAAATTTCAGGTATAAACAGCAAAACGTCCACACACATTTCAAATGTTTATGCTTTGTCATTTATACATGCATTTCAGTTTTTAAAACAAGCATTAAAACTTGCCCCTTGCTAATCACTTCCCTGTTCCTCACTGGATCTCAGAGGGCAGATGCAGCTACTGGAGCTGTGGTGGGACAGAGTGGCACGTCCCTGGCAGCCCTTCCTGGTTGGCTCCTGTCCAGTGACTGCAGTTGGAGTTTGAAATCAGCCATGACTGGAGGCCAAACACTTCCAACCATGGCTTGGTTTATGACACCACAGAGTTACTGACACCACAGAGAACAGCTGAATAACACAGATTTTAAAAGTTGTGACGTAGGTGGTTGTTCACTGTGTGGCAGGAAAAAAAATGTGGGACAAAAATTAGCTGCTTGTTAATGAAAAGTAAAACAGAATTAATAACTGTTCATGTTTCTTCTTTCATAACAAAGAAAACAGGCAAAAGATATGAACAGAATCTTACCAAAGAATACATACGGGTCACAAATCCATGAAAAAGGGTCCAGCATTATGAATGCTTAAGGAAATGCAGTTAAAACTACTCATCTATTGATGTAGTAAATCCAGACCACACTGAATATTGGCAAGGATGTGGAAGAACCGAAATCCCCACAGGCCCAACAGGCCCCCTGCTCACAGCCTGGTGGTTTCTTAACAAGCTGACTGTCGCCTGCCCTGTGTCTCAGCTTTGCACCTGAGTCACTGACCCCAAAGTAGCTGACATAAATATGTAAAGAACTGCACATGCTGTAGCAGCTTCACTGTTTTGGCATTAGCCAGAACCCAGAAATAACCTAAAGGAATGGACAAATGCATTAAAAATGAACAGCTCACATAGCAGAAGAATCAAAATAATAATCATGAATGAAACTAGAAAAATAAACATTTTATGAATCAAGTCATCCACGTCCTGCTAACACAATCTAAGCCATYGGGGAAGACAGAGTAAAGGTGGCCTGGCGGCCAGGGATGGGATGGGTCAATGAAGGGCATGAGGTAGGTCAGGGTGCAGAGCGTTCATGTAATAGCTGCAGTGAGTCTAGGGTTGATTGTGAGGTCTGGTAACCCCACATGAACTCCACCTCCTTCTTGATGACCTTATGGGGACAACCTTGCCTCAGTGGCAGAAAATATTAGTGACCGGTGACGTTCACTTCTACACAGGATGGTGGCTGGTCACAAAGCCATCTTGCTAGAGTGGGGATCTCCCTTCCCTCCATGCTTGTTTTCCTGGCCTTTAGGGAACATTCCAGAAAGGCTACCTGAGTGGAACACACAAAACTTTTTTTTCCCTGACAATGACCGCAGATATGAAGGTGCACATCCCTGGAGACCGTGAGAATCTGTGCACACCTCAAACCTGCACCATCACTAGAATCTAGTTTGCTGCGATCTCCTCCAAGTCCTGTGAACCCAGTGTTTCTGTCCCAATCACAGTTTCCCCAGGCTCAAGCCCACAGAATGACGGGGATCAGGTACTTCGGCCCCCACGGTACTAGGCATCACGTGATGTCCTGTGCCACAGTTCACGCTGCTCCGGGCAGCACTGGGAGTTGTCAGAACTTCCTGCCTCAAGGTGACCCCAGCCCACAAAACATCGTGCATATACTCCACCATGTAGGACCATAAGGCCCTGAAGCTCCTAGGGGGCCTCGGGCAACAATTCATAGTAGGACAAAACTGGGAAGAGAGTCGAATTCTTCCATTAAACCAATGTCTCTGAGGTTTGGAGTTATGTGACCTCCCTGTGCCACCCCCACACACCACAGCTGTTTAATGCTGGATGGGACCAATCCTGTTTTTAAGCCATCTCACACAGTGAACAAAATCCCAAGATTACAGGTGCTTCAGACAATAAATAACAGTCCTCAAAAGAAAAGTGAGGCAAGTAGTTCCCAGGAGAGGGTCTTAGAGGCTGTGGGAAAAAACCCAACCACCCACCCAAACAAAAAACCCCAACATCGTCACAAGAAATGTGTCCCTGAAAGAGTTTACTTCTATCAGGATCTCTGGAACAAAACTGGGTCAGGTTCATGCCCCAGCTTTTTGGAGAAGGGAATGTGGGCTCAGACTACTCATTTCCTTCAGCAATGGGAGAACACAGATCCGCTTCCCTGAACACAGTGGTGGTGTGACTGACACAGCTGGACTTAGCAAGTGGCAGTGAAATGGCTTCTGTCTCAGAAACTGTCAGTAACCTAAACTGCAAGGGTTATGGACTCTAGGAACTGTGTAACTCAGATCCTTGGAGCYGCCACAAACCTGGACTTAAGGGAATCTCTGCCATGCACATTCAGTTGCTGGGCTTCAGTCCAGGTAGGCTGCTCTTCCAGGTGGTCTCCTCCAATGATTCCACTAAAAAAAAGTGCATATTCCCTATATAGCTAAGACCTTTCTCCACTGTGAACTCTCTGGTGCTGAACGAGCACAGATTTGCAGCCAAAGGATTTCCCACATTCACTGCACTGATAAGGCCTTTTTCCAGTGTGAATTCTCTGGTGTTGAATGAGGCTGGAGCTTTGGCTGAAAGATTTCCCACATTCACTACATTTATAAGGCCTTTCTCCAGTGTGAACCCTCAGGTGTTTAATGAGGTTAGATTTGCAGCTAAAGGATTTCCCACATTCACTACACTCAATAGGCCTTTCTCCAGTGTGAACCCTCTGATGGTTCTTAAGGTTGGAGCTGTGGCTGAAGGATTTCCCACACTCCTCACATACATAAGGCCTTTCTCCTGTGTGGACTTTCCGATGTGAACTGAAGCTGGAGCTTTGCTTAAAGGATTTCCCACATTTACTGCACTCATAGGGCCTTTCTCCAGTGTGAAGTCTCCGGTGGTGAATGAGGCTGGAACTTCGGCTAAAGGATTTCCCACACTCATTGCACTCATGAGGCCTTTCTCCAGTGTGAACTCTCTGGTGGTAAATGAGGCTGAAGTTTTGGCTAAAGGATTTCCCACATTCACTGCACTCATAAGGTCTTTCTCCAGTGTGCACTCTTTGATGTTGAATGAGGTTGGACCTCTGGCTGAAGAATTTCCCACATTCCCCACACTCATAAGGCCTCTCTCCAGTGTGGACTTTCCTATGGCTGTTGAGGCTGTAGATCTGACTGAAGGCTTTCCCACACTCACTGCACTCATAAGGCCTTTCTCCAGTGTGCACTCTTTGATGTTGAATGAGGTTGGACCTCTGGCTGAAGAATTTCCCACATTCCCCACACTCATAAGGCCTCTCTCCAGTGTGGACTTTCCTATGGCTGTTGAGGCTGTAGATCTGACTGAAGGCTTTCCCACACTCACTGCACTCATAAGGCCTTTCTCCAGTGTGCACTCTCTGGTGGATAATGAAGCTCGAGTAGTAGGTGAAGAATTTCCCACATTCACTGCATTCATAAGGCCTGTCTTCACTGTGGACTTTCTGGTGCTGAATGAGATTACATCTCCGAGTACAGGCTTTCCCACACTTGCTGCACTCAAAAAGGCCTTCACTTGTGAGTGCCCTCCGGTACTGAACGAGTGTATCTGTGTGGCTAAAAGCTTTCTTGCATTCCCCCCAGTGGTGAAGACTTTTTCCATTGTGAAAGGCCACCCCACACTTGTAACTGGCATTTGGTTTCTCCCCGGTGTGAGTGGCCTCTTGATGGGGAAATCCCATGCTGGCCAGAAAATCCTTCCCCACCTCTTTGCAAGTATAAGGCTTCCCTGACACATGGATCATGCAGCTCTTTATAAACAAGGTTCTGTCAATGTCACCTCTGAAGGGAACCTCTTTAATGTGCTGCCTCTGATGCTGCTGAAGATTTGCAGCAAAATAGAATTGACTTCCACATGTGCGTGGCTTCTGCCCWGGATGTGTTGTTCTGTGGTGCTGAGCCAACTGCAAAATGTTTCTCAAGACCAGGCCACATATTTCACAGGTGTAGGCATTCTGGGATGACGACCCCTCTCTGTGAGTCATGACATGTGACAATCCTTCAGAAATGCTTGGTTCAGAAGGTGCTTCCTCATGCTCTACTCCATGCAAACAACCTGAAAGCAGACATTAGAGGAGGAATGGTGAAGGACATGCTGCCTTAATTAGGATGTGGCCATGAATCACCAATATTCATCCAACAAGCAAAGAACCAGTCTATGCAACTGTTTTCAGGCTGAGGAAGCAGCTGCTCTGCATTCCTGGACCCCAAGGTCCCCCAGTGGAATAGGCCTTACCAGCTGAGCACTTAGGGTGAGAGTCATGTTTTACACCTCATCCCTTTGTCAATGACTTCTAGCAGGACCATACCTGCTGGTGACATGTGGTGCTATGAAGTGACCTCTAGACCCCGAAGAACTGGACTGGAACAGTAACTGGCTCAGGCTCTGTTAAAGGATACATGTACACTCAGACCACAACATCAGAGGACACTCAGGAGGCAGTGTGAGTCCAGAGACAAAGGGATTTGCACTGGGCTGGTTTGTAGAAAGGAAAAGATGGTAAAATGTCAAGAATATACAAGGGAAGGTAAAAGCAAGCTGCCACAAGCAACGACATAAAGACAAGGGCTGAACAGGCAGGCTCCTAGCATGACCTGTGTGTAACCCCAATGCCATCCCTTCCCTTTGTCCAGGCCCTCTCTGAACCCATCCTGCTAAGACTGGGGTCACGAACATCCTGGGAAGCATGGAGGCTCTTTCACTAACCCCAGGTGAGGAGCTGCATGGGACCGGGAGGATAAAGGAAGAACAGGACATCTGAGCAGCTAACGCAGGCCCAGAACAATTCAGCAAATGGCCAAACTCAGGAAAAGCAAGGAAGTCACGTGGTATAAATTCAAATACTGTACTACAATGTTAAATGCAATCTCCATGGTAACTACACACAGATAAATAAATAGCCATAGAAGTATATAAAAGAAATGACAAGGAATTAAAGTTTACTATAAAAATCAACTGAACACAAAATCAATGTAGGAAATTGGAAACAAAAAGCTATGAGGCATATAGAGAGCAAATGGCAAAATGACAAAGCCAGTCCCTCTTGTCAGTGATTATTCTAAACATAAGTAGATGAGACTTTCTGAGCAAAAGACAACAGACCATCAAAACTGAAGGGAGAGGGACTGGGGTTGTGGCTCAGTGGTAGCTGGCTGTGTGAGGCCCTGGGTTCAATCCTCAGCACCACATATACATAAAGTAAAAAATAAAAACTGAAGGGAGGAAGATAGTTTTACAATGATATACAGTTTTACAGTAACAGTTGGAAACATTTACACCCAAATCTCAACAACAGACTAACCAGGGAAGAAAGAAATGAGRACCTGAACAGCCCAATAATCCAACTAGACCTAACAACCACACAGAAGTACTCTGCCCAACAAGAAGGAACACACTTCTCAAGTGCACCTGAGGCATTCCCCAGGACAGACTGGGTTAGGAGGTAAACTAAGCCTGCCTAGATTTAAACAGACAGAGGGCATCATACAAAGAATATTCTCCAATCCAATGGGACAAAGCTGGAAACAACAGAAGGAAAACTGGAAAATTTACAAATGTGTGGAAATTAAACAACATGATCTTAGATTGTAAACCAATGCAACAGAGAAGAAATAGGAAATAAAAACATAATATACACAAATTTATGGGATGCAACAAAAACAGTAATAAGGGGGAAACATACGGCATAACCACTTATATTAAAAAAGAAGAAAGATCTCTACTTATCAGCCTACTTTGACATCTTAAGGAACTTCAAAAAGAAGCACAAGTCTGGAGATGGCACACGCGTGTAATCCCAGCAACTCAAGAGGCTGAGGCTGGAAGACTGCAAATTTAGGCTAGCCTGGGTGACTTAGCAAGACACGTCTCAAATGGCTGAGGACACTGTTCAGTGGTAGAGCACCCTGGGTTTAATCTCCATTACCATAAAAACAAAACAAAAAACAAAAAAAAAAAAACAGTAAACTAAAGCCAAAGCTAGCAGGGAAAAGAAAAAAAGGAAAAGAAGTATTAAAAAGGAGTAGAATACTAAGGAATTAAATCAGCCAAGGAAGTAAGACATGTTATTGCTAAAATGAAAATAAAGAATAATAATAAATAGAAAGGCATTACATGAATGTTCATGGACTGGCCAACTTGATCATCCCAAAGTGATCTACAAAATGAATACTATCAAAATCCCAATGACGTTTTCCCCCCAGAAATAGAAAAAAAAAATCCTAAAATTTACATGGATTTCCAAGAGTCACCAAATAAGGTAAAACAACCTTGAAGATCAAAGTTGGAGGACTCACATACAAAACTTATCACAAAGCTACAGAAATTAAAATAGTGTCATGCTTCCATAAAGTCGGACCCATAACTGGGCATGCTAACACACACCCATAATCCCAGTGGCTGGGGAGGCTAAGGAAAGAGGATGGTAGATGCAACAAAAACAGTACGGTTGTGCCTTAAAAAACAGAATTAGTACATGATCCAGCAATTCCACCTCTGGTTATGTGTCCACAGAATTAAAAGCAAGTACATGAAAAGGTATCTGTAGACTCGTGTTCATTGAAGCATTATTCACAGTAGCTCCAAGTACACACAGGTGGACAGATGGATAAACAACATGTAGGACATCATGCAAGGGAATGCTATTCAGTCTTGAAAGGAAATTCAGGCTTGGACCTTGAAAAACCTACCACACAAGAACAAATACTTTATGATTCTACTCACCTGAGACACTTAGAGTGGTCAAATTCACAGAAAGAAAGCAGAATGGTGCTTTGTAAGAGATGAAGGGAATTATTGCTTAGTGACTAGAGTTTTAGCTTTGCAAGATGAAAAAGTTCTATGGAAGAAAGGTAGCGATAGTCACATAATAATGTGAATTTTAAGTATTTAAAACCAATGAAATGTACAGTTAAAATGATAAAATATCATATATATTTCACCACAATTCAAATAAATAAATAACACCTTGGGGAAGTTCTTGTAAAAATAGGCTAAATAAGTACTGATGTCAGTGACTATATTTCATGGCACACTAAACACTGATGAACGTCAGATATAAGAAAGGAAAAGAACGTGCATGGACCTAGAGAGTCACCARACAGGAAGAAGACAAGTAGGTGGGATCTGATAGGGTCACTTGAGACTACTGATCCTTGTCCATGATGCTCTGGGGCAGCAGGAATTATGGCCACAAGGGGAGGGAAGAAGGCAAGCACTCAGTCCCAGCACCTGCCCAGGGAACTGGGGATGAGATCAGAGGAGAACAGAGCGGCTCCCAAGGAAAAGGAGAAAGGCAGTGCAGCCCAGGCCACAACAGTGGATACCAGGGACTTACCCAGTGAGGATATAAGTGCCAAGTTCTCCAGCATCACCTCAAGGTGCAGGTGTCTCTGAGCCTCATCAAGAAGATCCCATTCCTCCCAAGAGAAGTACACAGCCACATCTTGAAAGGTCACCTGCCCTGGCAGGACAGAGACTGATGAAATCATGAACAGCTCACTCTGGAAGACCCATGATCCTTGTCCACACATCTGCCCCCATGTCCACCCTCCTCCCAAGCTCCTCAACTCGGAAGGGACACCAGACCCTGGTGTCATTGGTGCCTGCTCTCCTGGTGCTCCCAACAGTCACTGCATTCATTCATTCTGTTTTCCATTCTGCAACCAGATAAAACCCGTCAACACTTGGGTACGAAAACCTCCCTCCTCTAAACCCAACCTCCCGCTGCCTCCACCTAACAGTGTGACATTCCAAGCCTGGCTCTGCCTGCTGCCTCCCGCTCCCGGAGTTTGTGGCCATCAGAAAGGCAGGAGACCTGTAGTTCCCGGGACACATTCCCCTGCAAGCAGTTCCAAGCGCTGGTATCTGCACCCGGGTTAAGCTTCCACACCTCCCTGGGAGGTCCTAAACGGGAGCTCCCCAAGTGACTGCCCACACAGATGCGGGACCCTCAGCTTGGTGAACACAGGGCTGGGGAAATGGCAGGCGAAGTCCAAGAGACCCGAAGGCAGAGAAAATGTGGGTGGAAGTCAGGAGCCCTAAGACCGGGGCGCCCTGCACTTACCTGTGAGGTTCCAAACGGTTGGGAAGGGCAGAGCCAGGCGGAGTGAGCAGGGCTGTGCTCCCCCTGCACCGCCTCCCCGTCCCCCTGCCCGCCAGGCCTGGCGACTGACCTCCAGCTGGGGGCCACCTCCGGTCAGCGGCTGGCCTCGGGCGGGGCTTACTCTCCCTCCGCCTCCGGGGCGCACCACCCGCGGGTTCCCGGAACAGCCTCGGGCAGGCTTTCCACACCCACCGGCCGCGTCTCCCGCTCGGGGCTGTCCCCGCCCGGGGCTGTCCCCGCCCGGCCCCGCGCACCGGGCGCGACTCCTGCGCCTGCCCTGCGGGGGCGGGCCTCCCCCAAGCTCCGCGCACCCCACGTCCCCGCGCCCTCCGCCCGCCGCGCCCCGCGCTGACCCGGGCCGGGGCCGAGGACGCGGCGCTCACCCCGGCCGGGCCCCTCGGCGCGGCCGCCTCCATCCTACTCTCCTGGCGGGGCACCGGGGCGGCGACCGCGCGCTGCCGCTCTCAGCGGCGTCACAGTCTGCAGCGCCTGGTCGCCTGTCACTCAGGTTCCAGCGCAGCACACCAGACTGACAGAACCCGCCCGAGGGCCGCCGAAAAGATCTCCAGGAAAACGCCGGAAGTCCCGCCCCAAGGGAGACGCCCTGCACGGAAACGCCTCTCCTCTGGACCTTCATTGGGTCAGCACCCTGCCACTGGGCGCAAGCACTTCTGGGTAATGTAGTTCCCACGGCCACGCCGATCGCGCCCAGGGAAGCCAGGAACAGCAACCTTGAGGGAAAAGTCCCCGCAGCGCCGCCAGGGCCCCCAGCCGGTGTCCGGGGAGTCCAGTCTCCAGTGCAACTGACCACTTAAATATGTGGACATTATTTCAGACCCAAGAAGCCGACGCACACAGAGCCCCGCAGTTAGCTAGAAGCGTTGCCACGGCCGCATCGCTCTTCAAATGCGTGGGGGCACGCCATCGGCTCAGACTGGCGCCAAGAAGGGACCAAAGGCGGTGTGTGTGTGTGGGGGGGGCGGACTGAGCCAGGGTGGACAGCGCAGGGTGCACGCACACGGGGCGTCTATTCCTGTCCCCTGAAACGTGCCTTTGGCCTGTGAAGTCTGGACGTTCACAAAGCATAGACTTTTGCTTACGCCCTGTGTTCCTGACTTACATCCGAAGTTTCTAAGTCATAAAATCGACTTTATTGTTTGTTGGGGATTATTATCACATTCTATGTATTTGTAAAACGGCGAAAAAGTCTCCTTCTGTACCCGTCGGATTAGCCCCATCTGAAAGACAGCCTCTTTACAGGACTCTGCTCCAGGCACGCCCTCTACCTGCATCCCACCTGCATCCCACAGGCATCCCACCTGCATCCCACAG